GACAATAATATGTAAAATGATAACCATTGATAATTTCCTACCATTTTGTCTGTAATTTGCTATGTCCCCCCTATTATTATGTTATCCTTCTTTTATTCTTTAAAATAAAAAAAAAAAAAGAACAGCAGCGAACGTCCCCCTGTGCTGAACAAATAATAAATATTTCTTTATTTTAATCTAAAAATATTAATACCAATTGACTTTCTATAATACAAATCTGGCCAATGTAGAAAGAGTGGAAAATGCTGGAAAGTTATACAGAGGAAATGAAAAGTCACCTTTAATTCCCATGACTCATTTTAAGATATTATTAGTATTAGCTACTACTTTACTGACTGTAAGACCCTCACATTCCCTCTCACCGTGATCTTCATCTTTCTGTTAGTGATCCCATGTTCTCTCCAGGGACAATTATTGTTTTGTTATTTTTCAGTGAATTGAAATGCTGTGAGTTCATGGAAAGAGTTTGCCATGAGCTGCTAGTGACTTGCTCCTATTTCAAAGGAAACTGTTGTTCCCATAACGGAAAACTTAATCCATCCTGCCCCAGTGCATTTCTTCTCTCAAAACCAGGTGAACCACCTCTGCTGATTTCACTGGGATTATGTCACCTGCCGAGGCAACTCGCTGTTTCAGGAGGTGATGTTAAGAAACAAAACAACACCCTTTCAGTTAATCGGTCCTGGAAAATAGACTGGCTTTATATTCCACAGCTTTGATGTGCTTAGTGGTTCCTGTAAGGATCTGCCTCTCTTTGCTTTGATTGACAAGACCTTTCCTCTATATTTGGGCAACCAATCAGCCTAGTAACAGAGGGTAGAGACGTTTATCTAGGGCAGACTTCTACCACTCACTGTGACTTTCTTAAACCTTGGTGTAAGTGTCAGCTCCAACAGAAGGGTTGGACCCATCAAGATCAGGTAAGTGCCTCTTCGCTTTGAACTTCATTCTTCCTGCAGGGAAGCCCAAGAACTTCTCTGATGACAGGCCAGAGGTAGGCACTAGGACAGCAGATTGGAAATGCTGCCTGGCTTGAGTGATCATGACTTGGGGGCATCCAACAAAGGCAGTGCCCATCCTCACTTAGACATCCAGGTATGTTGAGAAGATGACTTAAATCCAGTGACAATGGCTTTTGAGGCTTCCATCATTCTGAATTTAAGTTTAGTGACAACTAGGTGCTTATTAAGTGGAAGTGTACAGCAGAGGCAATTTGTAAATAAGACACATCTTTGCCTACATCTATGCATGCATGTTTTTTGGTGGGCTGGGTTAGCAACAACACAAGTAGGCCTGCCATTCCTCATATTTACCTACCTCCCCCATTCATTTCTGAGCCATGACACTGAAACTATAATTTTGTGCAAAGCATGAAGCATGGCACCCAAAAGCCCAGAACCTGAATAAAAATAATTTTTGTTCACTCACGTATGATCTTAGGATAAGCATGATGTTTGGTGTTATTCATATTTTGGGTTAATTTTGGAGAGATCGTTAGGACACATTTCTTTTTTTTTGGTCATAGAAGAGCTCAACTTTTAAATTTTTCTCCCTAGTTTTTTTTTTATATATTTTTATTTGTGCCTATTAATTTTATAAAATGTTGGGTTTCCATGTGGTATTTTCATATATGCATATGTTTTTATCATAGCCATCTCCACTTACATTTCTTTAACACACAAGTTAACTGCAGCGGTGGAGTTGCAATAAAGAAAATCCCAAGAATGCACTTCAAGGGTTGGGGATCTAGAGAGACTGTGGGATCGCTACTGGAGCCAGTTATGGAAGACTTTGGGCACCAGTGTTGGAGTTGAATGGGTATTTACATTTCCTGGCCCACTTTTCCTGAAATGTACAAGAGCTAGGTCCCTTAGATAGCAACAAACACACCTGGCTCTGCCGCTTGGGGCAGTGGGGTTTCTCAACTCTCTTTCCTTTCCCCCTCTGGAGGACCATCATGAAGCCGGCATGCCTGTTCTTGGGCGCCATGGCCCTGCTCTTTCTGTGTGGCCGTTGCTTTGTCCTTGGCACCTCCAGTGGTGACCTGCGTACCTTTGTGGGCTGTGCCGTGAGGGAGTTTACCTTCCGGGCCAAGAAGCCAGGCTGCAGGGGCCTTCGGATCACCACGGACGCCTGCTGGGGCCGCTGTGAGACCTGGGAGGTGAGTTGCTGGAACGATGGCTCAGACGGCAGAGCCTCCAGGACCAGCCGCTTGGGCCTGATTCTGAAGTGCTCACTGTTTCAGTAATGGGAAATAGAACCGGGGCACCTGCTCTTTCCTGTGGATTAAAAAAGCAGTAGCACAAGTATTTGGCCCCTTGCAAAAATGATGTAAGAAAACCATGTTGCCCCTTTAAGGAAGTACTGATCCGGTTAGTAACTTGGTTGATAGGGTGTCTGTGTAGTTCGTGCTATCTCTGGGGGGTCAGAAGGTGCTACAGTTCTACCCACTTCACAGATCACAGGGAGGATTCAAAGGGTGACTGTGAAGTCACAGAGAACTGGTGTAAAGTTGGGAACCAACTCTTGGCTCCAGCCTGTGAGCCACTCTCCTCCCTCATTTGGGCCAAAGTCAGCGAGTTACTGAGAAGGGGGCCCTGGGCTGTGTGGTGAGTGAGGGAGACCCAGGCCTCTTCTGCAACGCCTCACCCATAGCCCATCCCCTCCGTCCCCTGGGGACCTCAGGGAAGCACGGAGAGGCCCACTGAGTCCCTCTATTTTCAGTTATACCTGGCCTTTTATTGAAGAATGGGCCTAAAAATCTCAAATGAATTTGGAATCCTGCTGGGCTATTAGGAGCTGTAGAGGGATGAGGAGAGGAAGGGCCAGTGGGCTCCTGTCACATCACACCACGGTGTTTACTGGATGCCACCAGTGCCTGAGCTGGTCCCTGATGAAGTACCAGCTCTAGTCTCACCACTCCCCAGCTCTAGACGTCTAATGACCACCCACTCGCACACATTCAATACCAACAGTTGTCTTCAACACTATGGCAGATGCCTATGTTCCTGGGGACTTCCTGCATTCCTAGCTTTGGCCTGGTCAGGTTGACTTTTAAAGGTTTTCTAACCTAGCCCTCATGAAATCTTATTTTAGTTCCTTGCTCATATCCCTTTTCATTTACACCTGTCATTATCATAGTTCTTTCCCCATGCCTGGCCCCAGGGCCAAGTCCTTCCCTAAGCCTTGGCTGGCTCTCTCCTAATTCCTTGACTTGATTCTGCTTTTTGTTTTAACTTGCTACACACACACACACACACACACACACACACACACACACACACACACAATGTTTTTGGTTTTTTTCTGGTACCGGGAATTGAACTCATGACTTTGCGCTTGCCAGGCAGGTGCTGTGCCACTGAGCTAAATCCCCAGCCCCTACACACATGTTTTTAAGTTTTTTTGAGGGCCTAGTTTCATTCATTCTTGTGTCTCTCGTAGCGTTTGTCAAAGTGTCACAGGTGAACAAGGCATTCAGTGCACACCAGCTAAGCTGGATGGGTTTGAACTCTACCTGAAGCCGTCTAGTCTCCAGCCCGAGGGAGACCAGCTCTGGAGCACTGATCCTCAGGAGAAGGAGGCTTTGCTTCAGAGACTGGGATAGCAACCTGCTACTGCTTAGATAAAACTGTGCCCTTCTGAACGGAATCGGGTTTTGGTGATGAAATAACAAATTAAATGAATCTACTCCACAATATTAGCTATTTTATTTATTTTATTTTATTATTTTATTTTATTATCTTATCACTTTGCATCATTCAGGGCCCTGGACCTCAATAATCAAATGAAAATTCTGCTCTATATACTGGGTCCATCCATTGACATCAAATGAACTCTAGGAATTTTCTCGCATGCAGGGCCTGGCCTGGCAATGCCTTCTGTAGCATTTTGGGTCTGGCTAGTGGGAGAGCTTTGTATGCCAGCTTCTCACACTCCAGGTTCCCCTCTCTCAGCCCATCCTCTCTTCTTTTATCCATTGATTAAGGTCTCTCACAGGACCCTGGTCACCCGCAGGAGGTCAAGGACTGAGCTATCCCTGGAGAAATGGAAGGACGAAGCCCAGGAAAGAACCAGATTCTCCCTCATGTTAGCCAGCTTTGTCTGTGTCTTTACTGTGTTAGGAAAAGTGAAGTTATTGGTGTAAAGAATACAAGAATGGGGAGACTGAGGTTCATTTTCCCAGCAACCAGCAAGTTTCTGAAATAAAGAGCACTGTTTTTGTTTTTGGTAGCCTGCCTGGAAAAGAAGGGTGTTCACGACTACAGAGTGGCTGGGTTTACCTTAAAAGCATAAATCTGTCCCACATATTATTCTAAGAAGTTCATTATTCTGAAATACAAATTTAACGGGATGTCTGAGCTGCCTGGGTTCTCAGAGTACTGAGGTAAGAGACCACAAAGTATATGGGGCAGCGGGGAGAAAACCAACAAATTCAGCTCTTCTGAGAACAAATTCTTCATGGTCCTTGTGGAAGGCAAGGTTTCTGTTTTCATAGCATTTATGCAAGGACTTCATCTGGGTTCTGTCTCTTTATCTATCTATCTATCTATCTATTATCTATCTATCTATCTATCTATTACCTATCTATTTATCTATTATCTCTCTCTCTCTCTCTCTCTTTCTCTCTCTATCTATCTACAGTATATCTGCCTACCTTTTTGCCCAGAGCAAGTGAAGGCATTGTGCTTTGAAAGACTATTTTTTCATTATTACGTCCCAATTTTGGCCCAGTGAGACAGTAGATCACACTGACTGAACACTTACCTTGTGCGAGGCTGCGGGAATTGCGTCACCGTTTTCCTTATTTCCACAGCAATGCTATGGGTTGGTGTTTGATTGGATGAGGAAATTGAGTTTTTTCCAGGTCTCTGACAGGTGTATGAGCTAAACAGGTCTGACCGCAGGGCTCCAAGCGTTGAACCACTATCTTGTGCTGGTTTTTCCCTGATCTGTGTGCTCGGTTTATTAAAGTGACCTTGGAACTCAGGGTTTATAAGGTGAAGGATGGGAGAGAATCTTTCACGTATCAGAACATCGCACAGAGCATCTGGGAAGCTGCCTGGCTCTATTTTCTTTGGTTGATTCGTCGGATACTTTTTGAGAACCTCCTGGGAACCCCTCTGGGTAGGGGGGCCCTGCAGGGACCCAGTGGCCAAGAACTCTGCTCATAATGGGCTTACTCTCTAGAGCTGGAGAGTTGCTCGTCACAGAACAAGATAAGATAGGTAAGATGTCGCTTAGTGTGGAGAAAAATGAAGCAGAAAGCTGGAGAGGAAGCTCTAGAACATGGAGGTGAGACGCTGCAATTTTAAATAGGATGTCAGGAAATGCTTCCCTTGAGGGGCTGCACTGTGGCTGAAGCTAGGTGAGGAAGTCACAAGGTGGGAAAGGTCACGGATGCCTCGGGGGAAGGACAAGATTCGAATCTCAAGGGCAGGAAAGCTGAGGTAGGCCCTGAGGGCTTGTTTTTAAAGGATCACTTAGGGCCGCTGTGTTACAGTCATCGGGCTGATGATGTAAGAGGGGAGACCATGCAGGAGGCATGCGCAGTGGTCAAGATCGTTCATTGGCTACGCGTCTGGCGAGCACTTCCTGTGAGCGGGGCAGTGGACCAGTGCAGGAGCTCAGGGTAGGGCGATGACCAAAATCAGCTTCCTGCGTTCAGCACTTTGCTTTCTACTGGGAGGAGACGGAGTGCTAAATAAACAAATAACAACCAAGTTAATTTCCTATAGGATAAATGGTACCAAGAAAAGCGAACAGGTGATGTGTTCTAACGGCTTCCCTGTTTTCCACCTGCGGGGACAGAGGCCCGTTCTGGAACCCCCCTACATTGAAGCGCATCACCGAGTCTGCACCTACAACGAGACCAGACAGGTGACCGTCAAGCTGCCTGGATGTGCCCCTGGGGTCGACCCCTTCTACACCTACCCCGTGGCTGTCCGCTGTGACTGCGGGGCCTGCTCCGCAGCCACCACGGAGTGCGAGACCATCTGAAGCGGACGTGGCCCGCCCCACGCAGCTGCGCCGGGAGCCACGCGGACCCCGCTCCTGTGCAGCGCAAGCAGCGCCACCCCTGGACCGAAGGGTGCTTGTTTCGCTGTGCCTTGGAGAAGGTCACCTGCCTTCCTTCTGTCCAGCTGAGGCACGGGGCGCAGAGGCAGCACACCTGTGCTAAAAATGCAAAAACATTTGAGCTTTCACCAAGATCATTTCTCTTGCTCACACGTTTGCACGTTAGTTTTCCTTTGCCTTGCAAAGTTTCCTTTCTTTTCCTTTGTCTTGGGTCGTAATTTGTCTTATATCCCCTGGCACCCCTCGATATGGACTGATGATATACCACATTTTCAAATGCATTGGGTCTGTGTAGGAAACGGGGCCGGGAAATCTGAAAAAATTCACATTCTAGTTAACCACTGATCTCCAGCTAGATTTATGATTAAAGGGCTAGAAATGATCAAAACCAACACACCAGCATTTCTGCCTTGAAAGGAAACCCAACTGCAAGTTTCCTTAGAGAAAATTCTCCCTTTCCCTTTTAACTGGGCAATTATCCTCACGTGAAATAGCAACTGCTCAGACTGACAGAAGGGAATGGACAGAGAGACTATCTCCAAGTCAAAGGTGTTTGGATTTGGCTAGTTCATTCCCAAGAAAAATTCCTTACATTCCCTTAAGATCGGTAATACAGGAGCTACTTTGTCATAAAACAAATGAACAAGCGCAGAAAAAAAATATGAAATCAGAAGGTATCATTTTGGCTTAAAAACTTCTGAGACAAAACTCACGTTTTTAGAGTGATAGTCTCACAAAGAGCTTGCAAAATGGTCAATTTCAAATACTCTTCTCTATTGAGCATATTTTAAATGTAAACTGTAATCTCAGAGAGTTAACATGTCTGTAAGGGTGAGGCTGCATTGCCAGCTCGGAGGGAAGACGTCTGTGACTGTCCAGCTCTTGGCCCCTGCTTCTCTATATCTTGCAGCTGCTGATTCTGTGACTTAAAAAAAAAGACACCTCTAGTTTTATGCAAGTGTCTTTGATTTTGGGGTCGGATGTAACCTTGTTCATTTTTATAATATGCCATGGAAATCTATATTAATGCCAATAAAGCATGTTCTCTGTCTTTTGAATTCATGCAAATTTTCAGAAGTCTTTTTAATCTTTAATACATTTGATGCAGCCCTAGGAAGAACACGAAAAATGAACTAGGAGGCTATTTTTACATAAGCATGAATTTGGGCAGGGGAGGACATGTTTAGTGAGGGTCGCTGACAGATTGTCTGGCTACCGTAAGTCCCAGAGGTTGTGTGATCTGGACCCCCGGAGGCATCACAGCTGGGAGCCAGGAGCCCTCCTCGAAGGAGGAGTCAGTGGGTCTCCCTGGAAGACGGTGGGCAAATTTGGATACCAATGGCCACCTGCTGGGATGAGGGGCCAAAGAGCATTGAGCAAAATCCACCCAACTCTTGGCTGATCTGTTGGCAAGGAAGGAAGTCCTGCTAACCGAACAGGAGTTGAGTGTCTGCTGGGACGGTGGGAGATGACGAGAGGTGATGGACTGCTCCGCTGTAGTGTCCTTGAGCTTCCCTAGGAAATCTGCCCTGGATTTTCTGAGATGAGAAAGCCTTGCCAGAGTTTGAGAAAAAATGGCCCCCATCAGGAAGCAATGGAGGAGAGTTTAATGAAGGACTATTTGTAAATGTGTGGGCAGAGTTAAGGAGACTGACAAAGAGAGGTGATCTGGTTCTGGTATGGAAGCCACAGGTGGCTTGAGGCTCTAATCCCTCTACAAAGAGGGATTGAAGAAGAGGACAAGGACAGACCCACACTGACACTTGTAGAAAGGGTGAGGGGGAATCGATACCCCACTGTCCTCCTGTCTCCTGGTCTTCTGTGAAATCAAGTGGGAGTTCAACGAAAGCCCAAGAGTGAGGGAGCTCGTTGATTTGGTCTGTAAATGTTGGTTGGCTTTCTGGGCTGCAGATTGAACAAGGATGGAGACTAGATCAAAAGGGACAAATGGATAAAATCCAGCCCACTCCTGCAGGAGGCTCGGTCACAGTAATGCTGGCCGGGAGGGCAATGAGGCGTGCTGTGTATCAGGAAGACTTTCCCAGGGTGAAGTGGGCTGCTGCACTTGGAAACGTGTGCACTTGCTAGTCTGTAACATCTGGGAGGCAGGAGGACCATGGGAGTGATAAGGATTGTGGGATTAGTTGCTTAAGTACAATCAAAGCCCTCAGGGTATGGCATGAAAGCTTGCACTGGAAGAGATTATTTTTCTAATGCACCTGGACAGTGGAGAGTGCTGAAAATCAGGCCTGATACCTCATTGGGAGAGGAGCTCAATTATAAAAAGCTGACACTATTTTGAAAAATCTCCCACATTTACCTTCCCCTAATGGAAGGAATGGGACACAGAGCTAGTGTGGGACAAGGGGACAAATGCTTGATGTCCTAGATGTACTGGAGATTCCCCTGCAGATGGGGCTTCATGTTCCTCTTGTGATAGGAGAGAAGACTCCCCCTGTTTGGAGGCCCCGGGGGTGGCCCCATCTGAGGAGGTTGTTTTACATGATGGTGTTTGTCCTTCTCAAATATGGCCCACAACCCCTTATGTTCTAGATGAACAACTAAAGCCGAGTCTCAGGATCATCCTCCGGGGAAAGACTTTCTCTTCAGTGGGAGGAATGAGACTTCTCACTAAAGGAGCTCTGGGACTTACTGAGGCAAATGGGAGAAATTGGTAGAATGCACTTGACGGTAGATCTTGGGAGTGTCAGCGTGGGAGGAGATCTCAGCAGATTGCACGTACACAGACGGGAGTCTGTGGTCTTATTCAAACCCCCTGGTGCTGAAAAAGACCCCAGTGCAAATCACACCTACCGTTTTATGGAGGATGAAACCAAACGCCCAGAGAGCTCAATTATTTGCTCAAGGTAATATCGCTAATAAGCAGCACATTCCTGTTTCTCTGCTTCAAGACCAAGCCTTTCCTATTAGAGCATGGTGCTTCTTGGAACGCTGCTTCCAGGTTCTTTCTGCTTGGGAGGTCTTTGGGTTTACAGGTGTCAGACTAGCTCTCGGCACTCGTTAGCATTTTCTCAGTCCTTGCTGGCAGCGGGGGTGGTGGCTGGGTTGGGGGTTGTGTGGAGATGCGAATTTTTTCTCTGGTTTCCCATCGAACCTTTAGGAAGAGAATGTGGTGCTGTAGCTCAATTCAAATCTCACAAAAGAAGGACAGAGGCAGAAAAGACGCAGAGCCTCAAAGGGTGGTTCACAGAGATTGCTGCAGAGATGAAAGGTGCGGGCTCTGAGCTTGTTTCCTAGGAAATGCGAGAGCTGGGGAGGGGAACGGTGGTACGGTGCCTTTTAGGGCAGCTCTAGAGAAACTGCTTACCCCGGAAATATGTTTATTTTGTAGTTAATGAAAGGTAAGGGGGTGGGGAGGAGAATTTCCTGGATTTTTTTTTATGAGATCATTTTTGATTGGAGAACATAAATTCTCACATCTCCCTTTACTTCTGTTAGTGATACTCCTGTTAGTGACTAACTTCTTGTTAGTGATTCATACTTCCCTTCTCTCATTGCTAGAAAGTCAATGAGCCTCCAGGAGGGTACCAAATTCTTCCATGGTAGCCCAATGCACTTTTTGAATCAATACGATTTTAATGTCATAAAATCATTTCATAGATGACAAATGAACTGTGTATCTAATGGACAGTAATATCACGGTGATAAAACAAATTGTATTTTATTGTTTTCCATAATGATCACCTGTTATTTACATTCAAGAGACTTTTTCTGCCTGGCGTGGTGTCACATGCCTATAATCCCAGCACTCTGTAAGGCTGAAGCAGGAGAATTACAAGTTCAAGTCCAGCCTGAACAATTAAAAAGAAAAGCCTGGCATTATACATTATAGTTCAGTGCCAAGGCCCTGGATTCAATCTCCAGGTACAGAGTGAGAGAGAGACAGAGACAGAGACAGAGAATGAGAGAAAGACAGAGAGACAGAGACAGAGAGACAGAGACAGAGAGAGATGGACTAATATTTCTTCAAAATGATTGCACCTTGTCCTCTGTGGGTTTTCTTTTCAGAATATTATAGCAAACTACTAAGAAACAACTTTTAAACTATCTCGAGCAAATTCTTCAAATTTTATTTTCTGTTAAAAGTTTCTACTTGTGAAACAGTCTACTGGACTGTAAGAATTGTGGGTTTTATTTGTAAGATGAATCTTCTGCCATTTCTTTTTATAACGATCTCCCGTAGGTTTAATACATGGAGCTATCTGGAACCATGTACAGGGAAGTCAGGAAGGCTGAGTGTCCTGTCGTTACGATCCCGGCGGGTTCGGAGGGGATGTTGGAGCCCTGTGAACAGGGGAAGGATCATAACAGGAACAAGAAGGATGGGAAAACAAGGGGAGCAGGTGCAGAGCTCTGTAACTGGCAGTGGGAGGCCGAGTCTTGTCTCCAGTGTGAAGGAATTTAGAGGGATTATTCTATTCTCTTTTCAAGGTTCTCATTATTGGAAGTAAAGCAGACCTTTCCCAGTCTTATTGGCTTTACATTCGACTCTAAGTTCTTCCAGCTGTATAATTTCTTTAGCATATGGGATAATTGAGTTAAAAAACAAGGCTTCCTGACACACAGGATGTTATATTCTTTGACCTTGATTGTGAGTCAATCAAAGCTTTAGGAAATTCATGCAGAGCCCAACCATCCTGCACCCCACCCACAAAAAGAAACTCCAAACAGACAGACGTTCTCCAGAAGACAAAAAAAAAAAAAAAAAAAAAAAAAAGTCTTGCTTTAACAAGAATATCTGCCGGGCATGGTGGCGCACACCTGTAATCCCAGCACTCAGGAGGCTGAGGCAGGAGGATCATTGTGAGTTGGAGGCCAGCCTGGGCTACAAAGTGAGCTCAAGGCCAGCCTGAACTGCATAGTGAGACCTTCTCTCAAAAAAGACAGAAAAAACCCACAAAAAACAAAAAAACCCCCAAGAATATCAATGTTACTAAGATGAGAAAGGTAATTTTGGTGATGTTGAAGGTAGTAGTACAACCAAAGAATATTCCTGGTATCCAAAAACAAAAAACAAAAAAAAAATACCCAAGAAACAAATACAACCAAAGAATAAATGTGAATATCTCCAAGTTGCAGATACAAGTAAACTTTCATCTGAAAGAACATTTATTCACTGAAAGTAAGCTGTCCCAACATACAATGAAGGACGCTGATGAATGAGCACAGACTATGCCTTCCTGGCTTCCTGAGCTGCTCAGGGGAAGAGTCCGCCTATGTCCACAGCATAGGAAAGTGGGCTTTCACATGATGGAGGTGAAATCCTAGGCTTCTCAGGCTGATTTCAGCTTCTGCTGTCCATGTGTTTCCTCTTGGCATATTACAACTAAAACATTCTGGGCACAAACTTTCCTGAGAAGAATGAAAACATCCAATGTGTAAGAATATGTTGGAAATGTTTTTAAGTGGAAGATTGTGCTTAGCTTTCGTATCCTGCCTGACCAAGCTCAAGAAGAAACATCTCCCCACTGAAACATTAACACTGCTAATGAGAAGCAAGGGCCCATCAGAGCTGGCTGCAGGTTTCAGCACTAACACAATCTGAGCCAACTTAGCTCAGCGCCAAAGCCAAAAGGAAGAGGGCACCATGAATTCATGCATCTCACCCTTCATGAGGGGAGACGTGGGTGGGCTCTGACTAGAGGGCTTCTCCTCTTCCACACTTGATTATTTCAATGTGTGTGTGTTTTTTTTCTGGTACCGGGAATCGAACTCACGACCTCACGCTTGCCAGGCAGGCGCTGTGCCACTGAGCTAAATTCCCAGCCCCTCAATGTGTTTTATTTGGTGGGAATGTTTCCATTCAGAGGAGGGGAGGCTCACACATAGCTTGGGCTGGGATTTCATTTTACTGTCACAGTACAGGGATTGCAAATCAAACTTTAAAAAATTATAAGTAAGTGGATTCTTGAAGGGAAGTCAGTGGGTGCTGTTAGCTTTCACTCCCTATTAACTGAATAAAACTGATTCTCTTTTGTGGCCCGGGGAAGGAAGG